TGTTGGGGGCACCCAGCTTTATGGACACCCCAAAAGAAATACATCTTGTACTGTAAACAGCGAGAAAATGAATGATTTAAATAGTAAAAAACTACATTGTTATTGGTGTTTGATCAATTTAAATAAAATTCTAAATTAAATAGTATTATTCCTCATAAATAAAATATGATTTTTGTACACATTTATCACAATATGCCTTTATAAAATACAGCAAATAAAAACACTACAATTTAAAAGAGATGTGAATTAAAAACAAGCATGTATAATATGATTTTTGCACCATAAAGTAAAAGCAATAATATTCCTGCAGTTGCCCCTGTTGTTCCTACAATTCCTGCAGCATTACGCCTTGCTCAAGATGTGACTTTAGCTCTGTAATGATGGTTTTATTGCGCAAAAGGATGAGTACAGAATAAAAGATGAATGAGCCCCCTTTTCCCCCCACATGGCGAGGACGAGCCCTGTCAACCGATCTTGTCGACATTGTGAGCAAAAGGGAACAAATCAAGTGTGCTAAATTTATGTGAGGGGGGTAAACAAAAACATTTCCATAACAAAACAAGGCTTCGACCTGCAACAGAATCCGCAGTTTGTCCCTCGGAGAGCCAGACAGGCGCAGAGGGACAAAAGACACTGCTGCAAAATTACATTTAAAAATAAAATTAAGTTGTTTTTATTTCTTTTTTACAAAATGAAAAATATAAAATGTTGCATCCGCGGAATTAGGAATTTTAAAGCTGTAATGTGGAATATTTTTTAACTTCTCAAAAATGTGTGTGTATGCACGTTTGCGCGTGCATTTTAATGCGCGCGCATGCACATTCAAAATCAACTATAAGATTTCAAAGACGAATTTAAAAAAATAAATGCTCCGATTTTTTTTTGGACATATGGTTCTAAATTAAATCTGTTTTGAAACAGGTCTTTCAAAAAGGCCTCCAGCTCACAGTATGGATGCTATAAAGTGTTATAAATGAATATATGCATTAGTTACATTAATCTTAAAAGTCACCTCCCAGCCAGCAGCCGATGGTGTGATGCAACCTGGGCGAGCTGCAGGTTAAACTGATGTGTGGGAATAAAACAAACACACAACTTCTCAAACGTGAATCGTACATTTCGATGTCCTTTGGAGAGAGTTCTGACTGTTTAACTGTATCATAGTGGGTTTATTACAAATTGTTTGCGTCTGTATTTAAGAAATAAATCGCATCTGCAACCCGACATTAACCCAAATAAATCCAAGCGACTTTTCATTTGAAGTAGGACTTATAGTAGTTACAATGCCCCTTAAAGAGAGTGGAGTGGGGAAACAGCAGTGGTGTAAAGCAGAGCTGTGAGGGAGGAAGTTGTCTGTTTGAAAGAAGAGACCTCAGCTGATCAGATCCACTCACCGTGCTCGGAGATCACCCCGGCTATTGCGGGATCCTCGTCCGACTTGAGGTGCTGCGGCTTGGCTTGCTTGCGTCGGGACATGCTGCTGGCGTCAGTGCTGGCGGTGCTGCTGCTTTTGCGCTCCGTGATGTCTCTGCGTTTTGCAGATACATCAGCGAAGAGCGAATGAATCAACACACAAAAAAAGTTCGCAAATAGTCTGGTAGCGGAGAGAGGGGGGAGAAGAGAAGAGAAAAAAAAATCTGAAATTAGCCGGTGTTGCTGCCGCCGCTGCTGTTGCTGTGCGTTGGATTGCGCATGTCGGTATAATAATTACGATAGTGAATAATGCCTCGCGATTAATGGCACCGTGTGAAGGTGGGGAGGATTGGCTGAAGTCCAGCGGACGCGCATTGGATATGGTAATGAGGGACGGACTAAGCAATTAGCCGCTTCACTCTCAGACTTTATCCGTCTCTTTTCTCTTTACTATCCAGCCTCCCCCAACAACACAACACAACACACCAAATCTCTTGTTATGCCCGGCTCACGGGGGGGTCTTCAACGCCAAGCTCCTTTCCCCCCTCCTTTCACGAAGCGCACTGACTCACAAGTGCTGAGGATTCACCGCCGCGTTTCTTCTCCGAGTATCTCTCATCTTCATCACCGTGACCTTTATGATCCCACGTTTACCTCACAACTTCAGAGAGCAGTCTTCTCATAAAGTCTGTCTCGAGATCTTGGCTCAGTTCTCGTGCTTTCTCTCTCTCGGTAACTTTTTTTTTTTGTTTGCTGAAGCTGAACACGCACCTCCTTCTGAATTGGACCCAAGTGAAGCGATGTTTACAGTCTCTGAGATGGCTTTAAAGTTTGCTCTTGATGGACACGTTTCCGGTAAAGTAGCTGCGGTTTGACTTGGACATCGATAACCGGAAAGTGGACGGGACGAGTAAAGTTCTTGACAATAGCAATAAATTGTTACCAGGGTTTTTTTTTTCTTCTTTTTCTTCTAATGGCGCAGCTCTGCTCTCCAAACTTTGACGCGCGTCTTCCGAGAAAGCGGTGCCACGATCTGCAACAGTCCCCCTCTCAGTCACAACACCACCGTCAATGTGCTCAAAAACTCATTGATCCCGCAAAAGAGAAGTCAGTGTTTCTGATCGCGGTGAGGTTTCCCCCTCGTCCTCCTCCTCTCGCCGTGTTTTAGCTCCCGGGTTGCGCTTTCGCTCACGGTGCGCTCTCCAAAAAGTGGCTTTTCTGGATATCTGGCGGCCAAACACTCAAACACAGCTTGTTTTCCAAATTAAATCATCACTCAGTGTCTTCCCCTTTTGCTCGGCTCGCGGGCTCATATCGAAGCCAACTTTGAAGTTATCTTCTGGCAGACCACTCGCGCTATCGGTCTCTCGTTGTTGGGCATGGCTCCGTGTGTGTAGGGGACTGCGCTGTGTGTGAGAGTTAACCCCCAAGCAGAGGTTCAGCCCATTGCTTTCAGCCACCACTAGGATGTACCACCACGTTGCTGTTCAATGGATCGTCCTCAGACTCCAGTGTGAACACCCAGATTTGACCTCCCATCATATAATATCTCACAGCTCTTACCAGCCGCCGCCTGTAAGGGATAGCCTGTCATATTAATCTCGCACTGTATTTTTTTTATTTATAATGAGAGCGGCGAGTATGTGGCTCCACGGTAGGCTTTCCATCACAACTTCCTCCCTTTATGTTAACTTTATTTCCACTTTATTGTCATTTTACGCACGGTGGCAACCGCTGGAAATGTGGTTTGAGACAGTAATCACATCTTAGTGAGCTACTGTAAAAAATATATATTATTCTATAGTGTCCTGTAAGACTGTCCTATTTAAATCACCATATAAACACAATATAATATATATTTGTACACTTAATAAAATTGTTTATTCCTCCCTCGCTTTTTGCGTAAAATTAAAAGACGTGGAAAAGAGACACGGTGTGCATTGACGCCAGCTCTTTGTGGTGCTGAATAAACACATTAACCCTTTCCTCTGCACATTTCTATTTGCATTAAAACCTCTGGATGCATGGGGTCACATTAATGGGGAAGGGATTGAAAGGATTAAGACGTGTGAGGCCGGCTGGCATGTAAATAAGACCAGAATTCTTGCATATTCTTTTAGTAATAAACACGATTTATGAACTTATCCTTTTCAGTTAATTATGCGTATTTTTAAATTACATAATTGTAGGCTGTGTTATTATAAATTGTTAAAGATGATGCTGAACATGTTACACCACTGCTGTCATGTTTCTTTTGCTGTTCCAACGCACAAAACGTGTGTTTCTAAATAAATTGGAAGCCATTTTACTGTAACGATGGATCCTGGGCTTTTTTCAGTCAGGGGGGAGATCAGTTAGAGCCCCCCCCCCCCGCTCTTCCTTCCCCCCTCCCTCCCCCGCTTGTCTGTTTGACTTGTCTATTCCCCTGTGTGCACCTCATATGAGAGACAAATCTGTTGACAACAAGGTCGTCCTGTGAGCAAACTTTCTTTTTTTCCCCTCCTTCTTCCTCTCCTTCTCTTCTCCATCATCCCCTTAGAAGTTATGTCCAAAAGGCGGTTATTATCTGGTATTAATAGATGCAGCCCCAGGAAGACAAAATCAGCTATTGATAATTGCAAGGAGTATACGGCAGCTACTGTATCGATCGGCGTGTCCTCCACTCCCCTGGTACTGAGAGATAAGGAGACACACTCTTTAGAGCAATATAATTTCTTTTGACCTATCTGCTTGCTACAGACTTATGATGAATAGCCAGAGTGGCTGAAGTCCTTTATCACCAAAGTTACCCCCTTGATATAATATTGATTCTTTATAACTAGCTCGCCACACAAAAATCAAACTGTCCACTTGGCCATCATCATCATCAATATCATCACAAAGGCGGAGGAATGAAGATCCCCGCGCCTCTAAAGGCGAGCCTTTACAATCTCCTCTGTAGGCCTAATCTTTATTTTGCTGATGATGAAAGGAGAGGGGAAACGAGGCAAGGTGCCATTTAAGACGAGGTGCCATTTAATCCGGTATAGACTACACACACACACACACACACACACATAGAGAGAGAGACAGAGGGAGGGAGAGAGGATGATCCAGAGTGATCAGGTTTGCCAAACAGCTTGGACTTCTGGGAAAGTAATTAATTTGGTGTGATTTTTTTTGGGATTGACAGAAAGATTTTGTGTGATTTTAGGCTGCACAAAAGCTGCAATCCCATAATATTCTAACACTGACATGACAGTGGATTAAAGAAAAAAAAGTCCACCCTCCAGTGGAACTATTAAAACGACTATGACTTTGGAGAGGCTTCATAAAACTAAATAAAAATCTCTTTAATTGACTGCAGTGGCAATGTAAAAATGCACGTTTGTTTTATTATACAGCTCACACCGGATGCGCCCCAGAGGTATCTTTTAACCTTAAAGGACGGGGCTGTTTTGCTGCATAGCTGGAGCCCCATAGAGGCTATTTCAACGGGGCCACTCTCTCTATTCACCGAGAGAGGGGAGAGCGCTGCTGGTGGAAGGGGAGTGGGGTGGGGGGGCCGAGGGATGGAGGGAGGCGGGAGGGGAGGGTGGGAGAGGAGGCAGAGGAGAAACGTGTAATCACCCAAACAACCATTTTTACCCATTTCACCCCCTCTGGATCTGTGTCGCAAGGTAAGAAAAAGGCTACTTGGCTTCTTTACCGGCCCTCTCTGCATCATGAAGTGCAGCGGCTGACTTGTGTAAGAACTCCTCTCCTTTCCTCTCCTCTCACTCTGCAGCCTGCCGTCAGCTTTTCTGTCTTTCACTGCGGATACCGTGGAGGGAGGCCGGACGGCGAAGAAGACACCAAGAGGTAAATGACGCTCGCAGTTTGAATTTAAATTTTATTATTTATTTTGGTCGCTGTGCGTCACTGTAAAATGAGCAGAGTGTGAAGTTCTCCGTCACATATCTTTAAATAACCTGCTGTGTTGTGTACGCTGTTTGGATCGTAAAGAGTGTGATTAGACCGCTGGAGTAGCGCAGTCTGAAAAACTGCGTCCCGTGCGTCAGTGTCCAATCAGACGTCTTTGCGCCGCCGCAACTGGTGCCAAGACGCATTTACACACACACACCGCAGGCTAATGTAGCAGCCTATGGCAGCCTATGGCATACTGCTGGGGCTTCTATCTGCACCAATCAGAGGCGACTTGTAACTTTTTTTTTCCTGCTATTGGATGATCATAATAACAGTATCCCCGAGGACAAGTCACTACACATACCTGAAATATTTCTGTAAGATTATAACTCATTATTGGGTCTATAATGACTTTAATATTATTATTGTTAATATAGATATTAACATTGCTTTATATTCTATGATTGTATGATGCTCACACACTGTCTGTTGTATCTATATTGCATTTAATGAAGCTGATACTTTTTTATGGTTTTATTACAATATCCCTAAAGACTAATAAGCCAAATTAATTTTATAGAGATCTTTTAATGGATTTAATGTCTTACGCATCACCTTTATAGTTATACAGTATTCCTACAGATATTATATTGTGTCAGCAGCACTTGATGGGGAGTTTGAAATATTCACATTTATTTTATTCTGTGCTTATCGATCCTTTTATACCTATAATTATTAATGATATTATTTTATTGAACTTGAGGTTTTGAACCTTTATGGTTACTGTAGCATGTGTTACTTGTTGGACAGTCTTACGGATAAAGTGACTTTTTTCATTTTGTAGTACATTATTATTATTATAGCACTTCTATAATATTCTGATGGTGACTTTGGGGTTGTAGCTTTATAGAATAAACCATTATTTTATTATTTCAAATACGATACAATAGTGGTTTTATGAAGATTGTGACATATTTACGTCTTATATTAAGGGGTGTTTTCATCATAGTGTTGGTAAAACTATTCAGGTGGAGCCACTCAAAGAGTGTGTGTTGTATTCTTAGACACTGAGCGAAACTATAGCAGCTGGTTGTCAGACTGACATGATATAAGAGTGGGTTTTTTCTTTCCTGACATGTTTTCTAGCTTTGCTCCGCACCACACATCCATTAGTTGGATATGTAAAACACACACACACACACACACATACGTGCACACACAATTTGATACATAATTGTGGACATCATGCATAAGTAATGACTGTTGTAGCCAGGGCTCTACTAAGTGGCAACTGGCTGTGATCCTGCACTGAAAGTGGAGTGTTTTACTCTCACATTTATCACAGAGTCAGAGATTAGGAGGCATCTGAATCCGTGTGATCCGTGAACTGTTTTTACATCAGTGAACTCGACCATACATTTTCAGTTATCATATCATGACCTGCTTATCTTGCTTCCAGTGAGGCAGGCTGAGATAAAATGTGACAGGCGGCTCGTACCTGAGATGAGTAAAATGTGATCTGACTGGTCCAATCAGGCCTAATTGAAATGAATTGAATCAACCCATTTCTTCCACTACTGTAATTAAATTAGTAGCTGGGGTGTAATTGGACATCGAGTTGGCACTCGAGAAGGAGATGACAAAATGCTCATTGCTGCCACCGAAGGACTATGTGTCAAATTCAGTGTGAAAGGCAACGCACCAAATGCTGGCTGACACGTTGACAAGTCTGGTGCTTCACGAGAAGAGCCCACAAACAAAACCCTCCGATTATCTGCCAGACTGAAACACTGCCTCATATTGAGGGAAATATGTTGAGATCTGCATGAGTGTGATTAAACTTGATGTGCAGTGAGTGTGGAAATAAACACATTTACTGTATATACAGTGCATCAAAAGTTAGACTCTAATTATTGCTATTATAGTCCAGAACACTGTTCTTCCTGGGTTCCTAAAACACCTCTAATACTGAAAATGTTATAGCAGTAGCAGCTCTTAAATAAAAAATGACCCTCTTAATCTAGGGCATAAATGTAATAAATAAATAATTAACTGATAAAAGACATTTTAAAGGCAAATCAAATAAGATTCGGCGAGCAACAGCCAGCTGATATCTGATTCTTAATAAAACCCTGATACTTGCTGACCAGTCTCTGCCCTAACCCTCCTAGATACAGCTATATGTAAGAGCAGTGTTACATTTTGATGTCTGAATTGGAGGCCCTGTATCAAATATCTCACATATCAGTTTGGCCTTCACAGGAAGGGAAGAGGTTTTACTGCTCCAAGGCCTTGGTCATCTGTGGCTGTAATGCCATTTCCAAGAACAATGAGCAGAACGGGGCTAAAGTCGCACTGATGACACTTAATCTCATTGGAATTCCTTGTCAGGTTTGACCTTGGAAAGATATTAGCCACTCGACAAGTGACTGTGTGGGTGTGTGTGGGTGGGGAGAGGTGCCTGTGTGTCTCTGTCTGTGCGACTGCAAGTTGTACATGTGTGTGTATGTCTCTGTGTGTGCTTTCTGGAGTAAACACAGGTGGAATTTGCTCTAGAGAGGTTTTAGATTTATAACTGAACCGTTGGTGTCGGTGGGCGCATGATGATCTCTTTTGTGAGTGTAACTGTGACTTAGAGAATTGTTCCTGTATTTGCATGGTGGTCCAGCACTTCTGATGTGTTGCTGGAGGAGGAGGGGGGTCGGAGGGGAACTATGCATGTGCATGAGAGCAGCTAGCAGCCAGACCAGTGGACTGCAGGGATCTGTGGCCCGGTGATATGTGTGCCACATAGTCTGTTCAATAGAGGCCTTTGAATATTTAAACAGCATCAGTTACTTCATACTGTCATTGTTTTGGCACCATTTGCCTTGCTTAATCCTGGTAAGAGCATATCTACACTGTCTTACTGACAGTGTAGAGGTGTGTGTGTAGGTGTGTGTGTGCGTCAAGAGAGGGGGCATTGATAGATACGTTTGCATCGTGATTCAAAGCTAGTGAAAGTTAGCATACTGATAAATGTAAGCAGCTACCGTTGCATGTCCTTTGTAGTGATTAGACTGCCATTAGAAGTGTGTGTGTGTGTGTGTGTGTGTGTGTGTGTGTGTGTGTGTGTGTGTGTTGCATTAAAGCAGGGGAGGGCATAAGAGCGCGCCTGTATGAGCATGTGAGTGTGCTTGACGCCATCTAAAATGAGAGAGAAGACAGGAAACAAAAGGACAGGACAATAATGTTCGGCATTCCCAAGGTTCCTCCGATATTTAAAGCCAGCCAAGTTTAAACGAATGCAACCACTCGCTAAGGTCAGAAATGTGTGTTTCTGCATTTGCTCCTGAAATGACTGCTTCCTTTCAGTCAACACTATCTTTCAGAGCATCAGTTTGATCTCGCTGTTCCCACTACAAAGGTGCATACAATACAAACAAGGTGACGTCGATTGCAAAAAGGCCTATGAGCTTCAAGAGCAGCAATTAGAGTTAAACTGATACCTTTAGTCAGGTATCTAAAGCTGAGGTGGTGTAAAAACGGTGCGGTTTTGCCCCTAAATGAAACAAAAAAAGGCCAGTTCTGACTTCTGCTGCCAAATTAGTGATAAAATAGTTGACGAGGTTGATCACAATCGTGTTTTGAATGCCTGGGATTCCTGTTTTTGACTCAAAGAGCAAAAAAAAGTGGAAGGAAATGTGTTGCAGTGTTTGAGTGACACGAGGAACTAGCATGATAAGAGCATATGAAATATAATCACATTATGATAAGAAAAGAAAACAGATTTTTAAAGAATTAAAAGAATATGGAGCATAAGACAGTTTTCACATTTTCATAGACACCTATCTGTCTGCGTGAGAATGCACCATCACACAGCTGCTGCTTTTGAGACTGGACTGCTACTATGTGAAACACTGTTGCATTCACTCATTCTCTCTGCACTGTTTGCTGTTCACATAAGAATTTGCACTATCAACATAACATAACACAACTGCTGCTGCTGAACCTGATTTGCTTTACATCTTGTTACACTGCTCACTCACATGCAAATTTTCTTTTTCATGCATGTAGTTGCATTCTCTTACATCACATATCTCAGTCCTTTTTCCTATTACAATGTGCAGAACTGTTAGATAAACGTGTCACTTACTTTTTCGTACGTACTATATTTTATATATGTCAATCCATTTTATCCTAAATATCATCTTATCTCATGTTCTTTAATTCTATCTTTATTTACCAAACTTTATCTTTGTTTTTTAATTTTATTCTGTTATTATATAATGTTTATTTTTTCCTTTATTTTAACATTATTCTATCTTTCTGTATCTCATTTTATTCCTATTTTTTAATTTTCTTTCTATTTATTTTATTTCTCTTTTTCTCTTATTCTATTTTTATCTTATCCTTATTGTGACTATTGCTTTTATTGCTCAGCTGACCTGTTCTCTTGTCTTATACATTCCAGTGTACCATTGACCCTGTGTTAGCCTATCAGTGACTAATAAAGCAAAATTGAAACTAAAATGCCTGCACAAAATAAGGCTGAAAACCCAGAAAAGTTATCGTCAGAACAATATTACTGTATTAAGTGACAAGCTGTCCTAGATGAAGCAAAAAAGCTCTTGTTTGCTGTGGGGGACAGTTAGCTGCTTTACATTCCTCCATTTACAGTACTGGATGCACCGGCATGTCTACAGCCCTTCAGCCTTTCTCTTTCTCTCTCTATCTCTGTCTCCACGGAGAAATATTTGCGCAGTGAACCCTCCTCTGTATAGTTTCTGTGCTATTCCCCTCTTTGTCCCTACACTGACTTATTTATGGTAACCCGCTAATGAGCTATACGGTCTTTTGTAGTGAGAGACAGCATGTGTAAACATTTGGATTTTTTCCCTCAAGTACACGGCAAGATCCACCAAATTAAAAGGCACATAGTGAAATGAAATCACCGAGCAACCTAACACCTGATC